TAAAAACCAAAAGCAAAATGAAACAAATGGACTTAACTATGTATCATTGATGAATTAAAACTCCGCAGAATCATTTCAAGTGGCAAAAGCAAAGTCATTTGTACTTCTCTAATACGGTACACCCGGAGGCAAAAAGAACTGTAAAGAAACTGTAAATTGTTTTCAGTAATGAGAGTGTTAGTAACATTATGCTGAAAGTATTATATATATTTTCTACATGTACCATATATGTAAATATGTATTAAGATAAAGCAGATAAGTAATTGTGTTGATACCACTATAGGCAAGAATGTGTACTTAATTGAAAAGAGATACAAATATAAAGGAAACTTATATAGATGACTTTTATAACATGTGAATTATGTCTCAATAAAACTATTAAACAAGAAAAAAGAAAGTAAGTACAAATCTTGTAATCCTGAGCTGGGTTTGGGAATACTAGTATAAATGCATGATGTATTTTCTGTTTATGGGGCGCCTGGGTGGCTAGTTTGTTGAGCATCCAACTCTTGATTTTGGCTCAGGTCATGATCCCAGGGTCATGGGATTGAGCTCCATGTTGGTCTCCAAGCTGAGTATGGAGCCTGCTTAGGATTCTCTCCCCGCCCCCCCCCCCACGCCTATATGTTCTCTAAAAATAATAATAATTAATAAATAAATAAAATGTTAAAAAATTATTTCCTGGCTTTTTTCCCCTGAAAAGGCCTGGGAAAATGACTAATCATAGTGACTTGAGCTACCCAACCACCCAGATAGTGGTCTTTAAATACCATTTCCAATTAAAAGAAACCAGTACTCCTTAGAAAATGACTGACTTCAGATGGAGGCAAGAAATGTACGGGACGAACCTGGGAACATCTTCACAGACTAGAACGCAAGGACGTTTTCTTTCCTTAGTTACTGGAGTGTGTCAGAAGGATTCAGGAGCCAAGATGAAAAGGCCAAAGAGAGAGAAGGAAGCCTATGGATTAGAAAGAGACTAGTGACCAGCCCAATTCAGTGTGTGGACCATGATTTCATTCTGATCGAAATAAACAAATGATTAGAATAAACAACAACAAACATTAATGAGATAATTGGAGAAATCTGAAACTGACAATTTTTTGCTGTTAAGAAATTATAGTGTTTTCGGTGTGATAATGGCTTTAAGAGGAGTTGTTTAGGTGTGGTTATATATATATATTTTTTCTTAAGTTTATTTTTGAGAGAGAGAGAGAGAACATGAGCAGGGGAGGGGCAGAGTGAGAGGGAGACACAGAATCTGAAGCAGGCTCCAGGCTCTGAGCTGTCAGCACAGAGTCCAAAGCAGGGCTTGAACCCACGAACCATGAAATCATGACCTGAGCCGAAATCAGATGCTTAACTGAATGAGCCACCCATGGGATGCCCCTGTGGTTAGGTTTTTAAAGATGTCCTTATCTGCTAGAAATTAACTCTGAAGTATTTCATGGATGAAATGGTATGATTTCTGGGAATTTCCAAAGTAATACACAGAGAGAGCAGATGGGGTAGAAGGGAAACAAAATTGATCATGACTGATAATTGCTGCACCTGGGTAATGGGTCCATTGGGGTTCACTGTTTTGTTTTTCAACTTTTGTGCATGTTTGAAATTTCCCGTAATAAAAAGTTTTTTAAATATCTCCACAGGAGGAAAAAAGAGTACCCTTTGCACAAAGGTGCACCCAACTAGCAGAAAGAAATATTAGAGGAGGCTGATTCACTCTGTCAAGGACTATAGAGGGTTCACAAAATAAGCATCTAAAACAGAAAGACCCAATAAAAGAACAAGGTGAAATGGACAATGTTTTAAAACAGATAATAAAAACAAGAAATAAATAGGTTGTACACTAGAGGCAAGTTTTTCAAAATTTTTATTTATTTATTTTTGAGAAAGAGAGAGAATGTGAGCAAGTGCACAAGCAGGGGCGGGGCAGAGAGAGGAGAAAGAGAATCCCAAGCAGGCTCTGCACTGTCAGCATAGAGTCTGACACAGGGCTCGAACCAATGAACCACAAGATCATGACCTGAGTGGAAATCAAGAGTCAGCTGCTTAACCAACTGAGCCATGTAGGCACCCCTAGAGGCAAAGATTTTTAGGAAACACTTATCAGACCCATTTAATGCTTTTTGCTAGGCTCTCTCCCATGAATTTTTTTGTTTATTACTTAATTAGCTCTAGTTGCTATAACAAACTACCATAAATTAGTGGCGTCTCAACAATAGAACTGTATTTCTCCAAGTTCTGGAGGCTGGAAGGCAGAGACCATGGTGCCAGCAGGGTTGGGTTCTGGTGCGAGGCATCAGACGGCTGACTTCTCTTTGTACCCTCCTATGGTGGAAAGAGAGCTCATTAACTCTCTGGCCTCTTCGTATAAGGGCACTAATCCCACTCATAAAGCCTCTGTTCTCATGCCCTAATTACCTGCCAAAGGCCCCCACCTCCAAGCACCATCACACCAGGAATAAAATTTCAACATACAAACTTGAGGGAACACAAACATTCAGGCTCTAACACTCATGTTGCAACTTCTGCTTTTTCGGTCATATTTTCATTTGTGTATCCTTGTACATTTGATTGTTGGGGCTCGGCTTGTGTCAGGTAACCAGCAGTTTATTGTTTTTGTTGTTTGATCCAGCCTTTGTCTATTATGAGAAAGTTGTATACATTTCCATAGCAATGTTTTCATTGTTAGTGAAAAAGGGGTTCCTGGGTGGCTCAGTTGGTTAAGCATCCGGCTTTAGCTCAGGTCATAATCCCACAGTTCGTGGGTTCAAACCCCGCATCGGGCTCTGTGCTGACAGCTCGGAGCCTGGAGCCTGTTTCAGATTCAGTGTCTCCCTCTCTCTGTCCCTCCCCTGCTTGTACTCTATGTCTCTCTCTCTCAAAAATAAATAAACATTAAAAATTTTTTTAATAAAAAAAAGAAATTGAAAAAGTCTACAAAATAATTTAAAAAATAATATGGGAAAAAGAAAATCAGTATTATTAATAATAATAAATAAATAATAAAAATATTATTATTAAAAATAATATGGGGGAAAACAAGCTACAACAAAAATAAGTTTTTTTTTAAAAGTAAAAATTAACAAAACGAACTTTCTCAGGAAGAAAGGAGAGGACAAGGAAAAAATATGTTGAGAACACTTGGCAAAATCTTAGGCGATTTTATTAGCGTATGATATCCAGTACATTTTGGGAAGCAGATAAAATCCTGTCCAAGCCTGACTGAGAAACTTTGCAAAGATCTTTTTCCAGCTTTTTAAAAAAGTTTATTTATTTTAAGAGAGAGAGGGAGGGAGAGAACAATCAAGGGAGGGGCAGAGAGAAAAAGAGAATCACAAGCACTGAGGAGCCCAGCACGGGGCTCGAACTCACGATCCCGTGAAATCATGACCTGAGCCAAAACCAAGAGCCAGCCACTTAACCAACTGAGCCATGTAGGTGCCCCTGCAAACATTTTATAAGCTCCTGACACAAGAGGAGAGGTTCTTGCTGCAGGCTTTTCCAGGGACCTTGTTTCCTTCACTGTTGCACATAGGCTGTGGCCAGGATCCTCAGTGCCTCTGGTAAAACATCAAATATATTAATTTACTTGGATTTGATATACCGGGTGTGAGAGACATGCACGATCCTTGTACCCAGAAGGGAAGTGTGCTGACTCAGAAGTCCAAAGGAAATCTGCTCTGCAGGAATGGCCTCTCCCTGCTATGGAGTGTTGACAGCGTCTTCCCAGCCTTGAGTAATGGGAGAGGGAGCAGGATTGAAAGTTTTCTGCCTCTTTTAAGTTCACTTCAAAATCTGTAACAATATTAGACTTCTAAGTGATTACTGGTATTACTCCTCCTGGGTAGGGTGATTATAATGGTCAGTGATGATGGAAGTGAGGAAGGTTTGCTTGAGTTGGAGTATGTTCAGAGGGCTACCTTCTAGCTCCCAGGATAGGGGGGGCCTCTCCTCCAGTCTTCAGGTTTTCAGAGGCTGATCGAGACTGAGTTAGAAATACAGAGACGGAGCCCAGGCTTAGCCCTCCACATATTCTTTGTTGGCCAGCAAGGCCCCAGAAGGTTCCACATGAGGTTGTGTTGTCCAAGCATCCCTGAAGAGCTCGGTTTCTTCTGTAGTTTTTCCCTCTGTCCCCACTGCCTTCTGCATCCCTTCTGACTTTGTCCCACCTCCCAAAGCCTGCGTCATGGCCTGCCCACTCCTTGGGCTTTCCCAAGGAAACTGAAACGTTCTTTTCCCTCCTCAACTAGGCATCACCTCATCCTTCCTTCTCTCCCCGTTGCCCTCCCATCTTTCCTCCAGGCCCACATTACCACCCCCACTTGTGTTCTGTGCCCCTCCCTCGCCTCCTGAGGAGCTTAGCCTTCCCTCCCTGGTCTCTGCCAGCAGATGGGCTCAGGCTCTTACCTGTCTGAGGCCCCCGCTCACCCCTGCCTCTCAGCCACAGGATGCTCCCATTTTTCTCTTCTTGACCAAACATCTGTCTCCTGTGGCTGTTCCCCTCTTCACTGTGAATTCTCCTTTCTCCTCACCCTGGGTGGTCTGCCTCCCAGAATTCTTTCTAAAAATTCTGTCTCCATGCACTGGCCGTCTTTGGATATCTTTCTGCTCACGCGGCCAGTGTGTCATCTCTGTGTTCCCAGACCTCAGGAACAGGGTGGGCAGCAGTGACTGGTGGGATGCGTGCCTGGGTCACCTGGCCAGAGGGCTTCCAGTACGCTGCAGCTCCATCCGGGGCAAGCGCATCTTGCTCTCTACCCCTACAGCTGGCTGCACAAAGGCTGGCCAGACCTGCCTCTTCAAACTCAGGCTCCCCTGGGCAAGCTGTGTCAGACCCTGTGCAGCCGCTATTCACTGACCAGGAGGCAGGAAGGGTGTGCTGGAGGGTCAAGGTCCTCCCTGCAGATCCGTTGCCAAGACAGATGTACTGAAGAGCCAGTCCGTACCCCAGCTTGTTGTATTTGGGGATCCTCAACAGCCCTGTTGTATTCCAGGTTCTCCAAGCCAGCACCCATGTTCCTGGATGACTCTTTCCGCAAGTGGGCTAGGATTCGGGAATTTGTGCCGCCTTTTGGGATCAAAGGTCAAGGTATGTTGGGAACCCTGGCCCACTCCACATTAATATCTTATCCCTCAGCCTGTCTCCCTGCACTCAGGATAGGGTTGTGCCCTCAGAAGTCCCCATGCTGGAGATCCATTCCTCCCTTTCCATCTTTCCCTTCCTTCCTTTCTTCTTGCTTCAGTAAGAACAAACACTGTTTACTCAGAGCCCACCACTTGGCCAGGGCCGGGTGTACAGTAGTAGAATGGACAGTACTGTCCTCCATAAAAAAGTTCCAGTCTGGTAGAGACACACTTAGAGCTCAGGACAATAAGGGCTCTGATGGGGGAAGAGGTCACAGGAAAAGGATGTCAGGCACAAGGGGGAAATCCCTGAGAAGACAGAGGCTTCCCCGCACGAAGTCCCCCAGGCTCCTCCATCATCCCCTCTTTACGCTGGTCTCCCCCCCGCCAAGTCCTTTCTTACCCCATCCAAGGGCTAATGTCCCCCAATGCCCTAGAACTGTCCCCTTCCATTGCCTTTGGGACCTCACTCATACAATTCCCTCCTGACTTCCCACCCCTGACCGTTTAATGGTTCTAATGCCTTGACAAGTTCCTGCACTGTTTCATGGCATGGTTGAGTTTGGGCTTTAGGATCAGATATTCAGGGATCAGATCTCAGTACTTTTTTATCAACTGTGACCTTGGACAGATTACTTAACCTGTCTGTGCTTTAATTTCTTCCTCAGTTAAATGGAGAGAATAATACTATTGTATTAGGCTGTGGCCAGAATTAAGTAACTGTTGAAGGGGTGATATCATTTGGCCAGGAGACTCAAAAATACCTGAATCCTCTACTCAGCCAGTCCACCCTTTCCTGAAAAGAGACAGTGACCAGCAGAAGGACACTTTAGAATGGGAGTTTTGACCTCAGGTCCCCAAGGGCAAATCTAATGGGTAGGGCTGAACCATGTGAAGAACTCCTTTTTGCCGGATACAGGTAGCTAAGCAGCCTGCTTTTCTCCCAATCCTCAGTCAAGACTCTGATCCTACAAAGCTATGAAGGCCTGAAAAGGCTGGTCCATAGCCCATTGGCCAGCAACAAGAGAGCACCTGCTAATTCATACCCTTACTACTAAGGCCCCCTCCTAGAAAACAAAACTTGACCTTGGGCAATTAGTAGCAATATGCTTTTCCTTAGAGGTAAAATGGGAGGTGGGAAAAGGAGGGGGTCTGTGGCTTCCCTGAAGCCCTCCATAAGGTACATCTGAAGGCACTTAGTATAGAACACTCCTTAAAGGTCTGTTTCCTTACCCATTCTCCTTCTCCTCCTGGGAAGATTAACTGTGCCCACTGCCTCTTTCCCACCCTTTACTCCTGAGCACTCTCTTCCCCTCCGTCATCCCAGTGAAACTGCTCTGTGCCCCACAGAGTGTCCAAAGGATACTGTTCAGTTCCCAACTTGACCTCTTGGCTGCATTGGACAGTGTTGTCCACCCTGTCTTTAAAAAAAAATATGGAGTTGTTATTTTTAAGTTGGGAGGCATCCTTTCTTTACACGGAATATTTCAGGCATATGAAAAAGAATAAAGATTAATACAGTGCCTTGTGTACCCAGCTTAAGAAATGAAACAGGAGATACAATTAAAGCTCAGTGCATCCCTTCCCATTCCATTCTCCTCCTTCTCCAGGAGACCATTACCTGGAGGGGGTAATGGTTTGGGGGTTATCATTTCAATGCCTATTTATCTATTTCTGTAACATATTTATATATCCACTGAAAATCTGCTATTGTTTTTGCATGTTTTTATACTTCACAAGTCATGTTGTGTGTGTGTGTATATTTTTCAAATTGATTTCTTTGCTTGTGCTTTTCAGGCTTACCTGTATTAGCACACAGAGCCAAAGGTCACTGCCTTTGTATTTTTACTGCCGGACAGTGTTCTGTGTACCACATTTAATGTGTTTTCCTTTGTCGGGCTTTTCGGTTGCTTCCCACATTTTGCTATTACAAGCAGTTCTGCAGTGAGCCTTCTTGTGCAGATTTCCTTAAACAAAGATCCTAGTCTATGCACATCTACATCTTTGCTTAGCGTTATTAAGATGCTCTCCACTACGGTTGTACTAATTTACTTACTTTATCTTTAGATCTCTGTGTACATTATCTTTTTATCTTCCTAATGACTCTGCAGAGTAAGAATTACCATCTTCATTTGAAAGATGGGGAATTAAAGCACAAAGAAAGTAAGTGATTTATCTAAGGTCAAAAAAGTCCCCAAGTAGCATAAGCCAGGATTGGACACCAAAGCCAGTATCATTACACAGTATATTATATATTATAATGTTCTCATTATGCCAGAGATTGAAAAGAGAGCAATGACCATTGCCAAAGCCAGAGAGAGGCCAAGAAGAATGAGGTCTGAATAGTGGTCACAGGATCTGAGAACACAGAGGTCCCTTGCTGAGGGCAGCCTGAGTGGAGTACAGGTGGGCAGATGCCAGGCCTCAGGAGTCAAAGAGGAAGGGAAGTAGGAAGAGACAGCCTTCCCAGACCAAGGATGGAGATGGGCAGTGCTGGAGGGAGAAGTGAGGGGAAGACGGTATCAGAGAGTGAGGCAAATGGGTCCGAGTCGGGAGCTGCCTGGGAACATGAGCTCTTCATCACTGCTGGTCTCCTCATCTGCTCTCTGGTGTCTGTTCAGTCAAGGCACAGAGGTGAGCCCAGCGTGGACTGTCTCTGAGCAGGTCCTGGGCCCAGGGATGCATGTCCCGGAGCCTGACTGCAGAGCCCTTGAAAGCCAGAGGAGAAGTCCCAGAAAGGGCTGGGAGCCCTGGGGACTGGCTCCGGGCAGAGCTGAGTGTCCCTGCCTGTTCCCTGCCTCCGTCTTGTTCATCAGGGAGAAAGCTAGGCCAGTGACCCAGCCAGCCTTGTGCCCAGAGCCCCCCTCTCCCCACCCTCATATCCACTCCCACCCTACGCGGTAGCATGTGCCTCCAACATCATCCGCAAGCACTTGGGGGACGTCAGTGACCCTCTAACAATAACCTCCCTCCTCTGTCCACAGACAATCTGATCAAAGCCATCCTGTCAGTCACCAAAGAGTACCGCCTGACCCCTGCTTTGGACAGGTGAGCCACTTGCTACCCAGCCTCCTGCCCCTCACTTGCCTGGCATGTGCAGAGGTATTGAGGCCCTGCCAGCCTTCCCAGGACATGAGCAGATTCTCTATCGTGTCCACACATGCACACACAGCGCACGTGCATGGGGTGCTAAGCAGATAAGCGAGGCCCTCCAGCTGGCCTGCACCCCATGGACTGAAAGCACTTGGCAAGATATCTCTGTCCTCAGCCGTCAGAGGTCTGAGGTGCCTCGGTGGTGGAGGTAGCTCAGGGGGCCAGGACTTAAATGCAGGAGGCAGTGACAGTCCTGAAGCTAGTGGGCCCTGGATGGGGGAAGCCTCAGGTGGGGGAAGCAAAATGCGTAGGGCTATCTGGTGGCTATTAGGAGCATGGGGACTTCTGAGTTGAAAATAAGCTGAGCCTTGGGTCCTGGGGCCTCCAGGCCTGTCCTCTCTGCTTGCTTTTCCACCACAGCCTTTGAACTTGCCCTCTCTCCTGAACTCCACTAACCCTTGGGGAATCCTTAGCCTAGAATGCCATCTTACCAGAGGCTCCTTCCTCCACCCCAGAACTAGAGCCGTTACCCCTTCCACACCCACGCTTTCCTGGAGAGTATCTAGGACTAGGGATGTCAGAGTCCCACAGTACAGTCTTGCCTCAGAATGCTGCCAGAAGCCCATTGCTCTTCCCCCATCCCAGCCTGTACATGGCCAAAGGCATGGGGCCAAGGGCCGAAGGGGTAAGGAGGACGAGACCTAGCAGACGGCTCTTCTGAGGTCTCTGCCTCTCTCCTCTTAGCCTCAGCTGCCGCCGCTGCATCATCGTGGGCAATGGAGGTGTCCTTGCCAACAAGTCTCTGGGGTCACGAATTGATGACTATGACATAGTGGTCAGGTGAGCTCCCCACAGTGCTGCAGGCACCTGAGTGTCCTGGCCCAAACCCTGGTCCCCGAGTCCACTGAGAACCATCTAGCCATCTGGCCGGTTGGGCTAGAGGTCAGCAGAGACCTCAAGAAGAACCCTGGTTTGGAGGGCTCCAAAAGCTACGGGCTCCAGGTGACCTGGCCCCCCATTCTCTGCTGGGGAGTCCCAGGATCAAGGTGTCTCCCCAAACCCAAGCCCACAGACTACGTGCAGTGAGCCCAAGGCAGGCTCTGATTGGGCCTGATCTCTGTAGACTGAACTCAGCACCAGTGAAAGGCTTCGAGAAGGATGTGGGCAGCAAAACTACACTGCGCATCACCTACCCTGAGGGCGCCATGCAGCGGCCCGAGCAATACGAACGCGATTCTCTCTTTGTCCTCGCTGGCTTCAAGTGGCAGGACTTCAAGTGGTTGAAGTACATCGTCTACAAGGAGAGAGTGGTGAGCTCCCCGTACGCCAGCTCCTTCCCCTCTTGCCCTGGCCTTGTCTGGCTCCCAGGTCAGCCTGCAAGTTCTTTCCCAGCCAGACCCCGAGTCTCTGTCTAGCAGCCCCTGCAGGCCCTGCCCTGGCCTTAGAACCCCCTGGAAGGAACGCTTCTATCGGGCTAACCCCGGCATCACTCCTAATCTTCCTCCTCTCCTGCCCTGCCCTTGTAGTGGCCTCCCCAAGCCCCTTTACCCTGCTCCTCTCGTGTGGATCCACCCTCATTCCCAGCCAGGGGAGGAAGGCCTTGTTTGGACCCTGGGGCCGTTCTGCAGGGACAGCAGACCCCTCACTGAGCTTGAGGGTTCCAGTTACCAAGCCCGTTAGTCCATCTTCTCCCCGCTTAGTACTTTTACCGCTGACCTGCAGTTAGATCCCCAAATGCCACTGCGTCTTGTTCTACCCCAGGAATGATCCGATTCTGTACTCCTTGTTCTAGGCAGGCTAGGGCCCAGGCCTATTTCTCTAGGGTTTGTGTGGCCAAGTAGGGTGACTGTTCCTTTTAGTGGACCACCCACGGAGTCCCCTCCTGAGTCCTCCATTTCACAGCTCGGGGCCTATGGGGATACCTGCCAACTTGTCCAGTCCCGCTCCCCCTCTTCCTCTCAACCGGCTATCACCAGCCACCCCAGGGGAGGGGTACTGCAGAGCTCAGGCCATCCGTCTTCCAATACTCGAGCCCCTTACGAGAGGAGAATGATGACAGATGGCCTCCACATATAGTAGGAAGCTAGTTGTTCTTTCTGGAGGTTTAGGGGCAAGTTGGGGGGTGGGAACAGCTTAACCTGCCTCTGGAGGTCTCAGTGCAATTTGGTTTAACTCCACAGCCTTTTCCCAAGCAATGCCAAGTACAGGCAGTATCAAGTAGGTAGCAAGCGAGAGAGAAGACAGAAGTCAGGTCCAGAAATTCAGGTAGGTGGGACAGTGGGGAAGGGAAAGCTGAACGAGATAGCCAGGCCCCACTGGGTTTAACTTGGTTCCCCCAAGGGGAGGAAGGGGTTGGCTTCAGCCAGCTCCAGCTGCAAGAAGGCCCACTGCCCGTGCAATCCAGGCAGAGAACGGGGCTGAAGGAGCACCCCTCTGTTTTTAGAACTGTGCTTGAATACTAATGTCCTGAGAGCCCTTCTCTTTGCCTTAAAGGCAACAGGATGGAGATCACAGGTAGGCAGGAAGCCTGGGGGGCTGCTCTCTCACCCTTTCCTCTGCCCATCTGCCCGCCCCCTCCTGACAAATGCTTTCCTCTGCCCATGGACACCTATCAGAGGAGCTCCTGGAGGACAGGGCCCTGATCCCATTGGCTTTTTTTTTTTAACCTCTTAATGCCCAGTCATCATAAATGGTCTGGAATTGGCTCAAACACCAGATCCTGCTTCCTCCTGAGCAGACTGGAAGGCCAGGCCAAGGGGCTGGGTCAGGGCATCCAAGAACAGCAAGGTCAGTTAATTCAAGGCTCTTACAGTTTATCCACGGAAGTAAGGAAAGAAGAGAGAAAAAAAGGAAGGCAGCCAGTTGGAAGGAGCCAGTTGCTGTACTCTAGCCACTTAGAGCCTCACTGTTCCCAGGAAGACTCTGAGGAGCTCACCACCTGGCCTGGCCTGGGCTGCAGGCTGATTGAAGGTTCTAGAGCAGTTGGGATGGAGAAGTGTGGGCTGTACTCAGGCACATAGTCACTCCTGTGGATGTCTGTGGCCTGACCTGGACTGGCCATGTCCCAGGATGTAAGACTGGCCTTGAGTTAGTGAGAACCCATTCCCAGGGTTGGTAGGTGTGAGTGAGGGGAGAGAAGGGACAAGGAGGAGTCCTTTGAAGTTCCATGAGCCTTCCCTGGCTCCAAAGTCAAAGATAATTTGGGCCCTTAATGTGAGCTGCCAGCGGAGGCCAGCAATGCCCATGGCCTCACCCGCCCTGGCACTTCCAGTGACCTAAGAAGCCTGTCCTTTAGCACCCTTCCCTACTCTAAGCCCAGGGCCAATGACGTCATAGGACCTCTCCCACGCGCTACTTCACTTCTCTGGCATCCAAGACCCGGGTAAATGTGGGAGAGGCTGCTTCTCCAGGCCCTCCCCGTCTGGTGCCAGCCACAGGCTTGTCCCGCTCTTGCGGCGATGTTTCCAACTGTGCAGCCTCTGGGCTTCTGGGGAGCTCTCGGCACCTGCCGGGAACCTCACCTGTACAATTCTGGCAGGAGGCAGCTCTGTGTTCGGGAGCCAAGGCCTGGCTGGGCAGGACTGGAACAAGTGTTAGGCCTCGGTCACGGCTGCTGCCTGCCGTTTGCTACGTGAAGTTGCTCAGTGGGTGTAACTTTCTGGTACCCAGGAGTCATGATGGGGTCTGGAAAGAGGAAAGACGGAAAGGAAGACTGGACAACCCAGAAGACAGCCTGTGCTAAGGCTGGCCATACTTTCTTCATCCATATGGGAGCCTTTCTTGTCACCATTTGTGGCCATTAGGTTCCCTGCTTCACTGGACGGTTGCACTACAGGTTCCAGACAGGTTACCACAGGCTCGTTATCTCCCAGCCCCTGGGACCCTGAGCAAGCCCACGAGCTTGCAGGAGTTCCCAGCAGGCCAAGCTCAGGGCGTCTCAGAGGAGCACCAGTGGACCGTCGAGCGGGAAGCTGAGGTGGGGGGAGGAGGAGCCGGAGACAGGAGGTGGAGGTGTATGTAGGGCCATGGTGGGACGGACACGTGTTCAGAGGCACATCTCACTCCATCTCGCATGCACTCATTTGCCAGGTGTCACGGTGGGGTTCTGTGTGCTGACACTGTGCCACTCCCTGTCTCTCACGGTCTAGTGGGAACCAGAGCTGTAATGTGATGTGGTCGGTGCTGGGGGTTGAACATCCTCCTCCTGATGTGTGATGAAGGCTGGAGGTGTCCATCCATTGTCCATGGGGCCTGGAGAGGACAGGACATGTGCGAGGCTGTCATTCAGGCCCAGTCCTCCCACCTCTGCCAGCCACCCCCTTCCCATGCCCCAGGATGCCCGGTAACCCAGAAGGGAGCTGCCTTCCTAATCCCCTTGGCCGCCTCCTCCCCTGAAACTGGAAAGTTGGCCTCATCGCCACAGGGCTTCTGACTGGTTGTCAGTTCAGAGAGGCCCTGAGACCTAGGTTGGCCTGGAATGGGTGTGGTTCCAGCCCAGCTGGGGGACAGGAAAAGACAGGGGCCCGGGTGTTGGCGCCTGGACAGCCTGGACGCAGACCCAATCTCCCAGCTATAGCTCAGGCCTTGGGGAAGGAGGGAGGGGCCTAAGGCCAGCCAGGGTCCCACATTCATGCATAAGAGGCCTGGGCTCCAGAATTTGGGAAGACATCGTGGCTTAAGAGGGGAAAGCAGATCAGGCCTTGGGGTCATATAGACTTGGGTTTAAATTTAGATTCTGTCACTTGTCAGCTGGGTTACCTTAGGCAAATGACCCAGGCCCCCTAGATTTAGCCTTATCCATAAAACAGGAGTAATTCTACCCATCATTCGGGGTCATTTTAAATATTAAACCAGGTGAATATAGAAGCACCTGGCCTGGTGCTTGACCTTAGCAAGTGCTGTCTGTAGCAATGATTAATGCTACTTATTATTTTATTATTAATATTATTGGTGGTGGTGCCGTGAGAAAGCCCAGTTGCACTAGGGAATGAAGCATTGTCTGTCTAGGCTGTAGGATCTGACCTAGGAGGTGACCTAAAGCAAGGGCCAAAGGCCAGGCCTCAAGGAAGGAGACTCGGGGACTCCTGAGAGAGACAGCAGAGGTAAGCTAACAGCCCGGGAAATCCACAGGGCAAACAGGACCACCAGGTCTCTGTATATGAGGCCTTTTTGGACCAGACCCAGAGATGGGGACTGAATGTCCATCTGCACCTAAACCTGTATGCTGTTCCAGGCCTGGGAGGGATGCTGAGTCTTAGGAGCTCAGTGTGGACATCCCCTCATGTCAGGGGAGACTCCGTGCAGGGCACTGGGAAAGGGTGTCGAGTCTGGCACACAGCATGGCCTCCTCCTGCCGTGACTAGGCTTCTGCTGAATGAGCAGCCATCTCCCCGCCAGCCTCAGAGACAAGCTCTCCTGGGACAATTTCCTTTGCAGCCATCCCTGGCGGCTCATCCCTCTTCTGCTCTGAGGGCCAGGAGGCCTCCATGCTAATCCCCACGGCCGCATGCTAACTGCTGCTCCTCTGCGCTCAGGTAGAAAGTGCTGAGGGATTGGGGTTCATGCCGTCTCACCCCCTGCTCCTCTCATCACTGTCATCCATGACCTCTGGGTTACTGGGCCTCGTAATCAGTATGATCACTGCCGCCGCCTCTTCTCCCCTCTTCCTGCCTCTCTCCCTCCTCCTCTCCCTCCTTTCCCCTCTTCCTCTGCCTCTTCCGGCTTCTACCATCCTCATCAAAGCTGGCGTGTATTATGCTCTCCAGCTTGCCAGCCTCCTTTGAATTTGTTCTCATAACGACCCTATTAGATCAGTTCTGTTACTGTCCCCATTTGAGGGATTGGGGAACTGAGACACAGGGAGGTTGAGTTCCTTGCTCAAGCTCACACAGCTAGCTAAATGACAAGAGCTGAACTCACACCCAGCTCTGACTGCTTTTCTAAGAAATAAGCCCGACCACATCACCCTCCTGCTTAGAATCCTCTGTCAGTCAGCTTCCACCTGTCATGGCCCATGAGAATGATAAGAGCTGCCATTTACTGAGCTCTTCCACATCCCAGGCTCTGGGCCGCACGATTTACAAGCAGTGCCTCGGCCACACATAACAACACTACAAGGCCAGGCTACCAGTAATAGTAAATGGGAGGGTAGCGTTTGGAGCCAGAGTGATCTTGTGTAACCATAACACATAACACCTCTCATTCATTCACTCATTCATTCATTCATTCATTCAGCCAGCCAGCCAATCCAAATCAATCCTCAAAATCACACAGAGCCGGTCTTTAAATGCTGTCTCCCTGGCCTGACAAC